AACCTGGGTTCATATCCCCAAGGGAATAGCATAAAGCAGGATAGATAGGACTCTCTGGACCTCTTAAGGTCCAGATCTAAGAAAACTTCCACCTTGGGACCTCATATGCTTCGAAATCAAGCTAAAGAAGGCATAAGAAAACACTAGATTCAAGTAGATCACCATATTCACGAGAATGAGCATAGATTTATACCTCTAGCAGCCTCTTCTGATCAAATGGTAGTAGATCTGAGCTCCTCAATCTGCCTAGCTTGTCCTCCTTCCTTCTTTCTTGCAAGATCACACTAGAAATGATGAAAATGGCTTCTTTTCTCACTCACAATGCTCTCAGGTCCTCTAGTGCTCTCAAGGGTGAAGGTGGCCGCAAATGAGGGCTATAAGATTCATTAAATAGGGCATAGGCCCGAGAATTTAGGGTTTCTGTCCACAGTGCGGACTCGTCGAGTCGACCTGCCGACTCGTCGAGTCCATTCATTAAATCCAGTCAGCAATCGCGATCCTACTCGACGAGTCTAGGCGTCAACTCGTCGAGTCCCTCTTCTTGACACAAACTAAATAATTAAAATATGATACCTAGAATTCCGGATGTTACATTTGGTCTTCAAGATTTGAATGTGGGATCATTCAAGCATTAGTGATTGTCGGTATCACTGAGATTCAGGAAGTGTTCATTTGGTTCTTAGAAGTGTGTGATCATTTGGGATTGGCCAGTAATGGAGCACAAGTTGGTAAGAGTTGGTTATTATCGGATCGATCGTTGATAAGGGGAGAAAGATTGGGAATTCTCCAATTTTCATGTATTGTGAAGACTTAGTCGAATCTAAGTGGGGGACAATCGTCCCGGGATTCGGAAGAGGGAGTGGTTTCGAAACTGGGATAAGTTTCGCATCCTTGTCAGGAAGAAAGGCGGCCCAAGTGGCTGTTTGGTTTGAGGGTTGTATGAGTTGGGAGTTCGGTAAAACTCCCCAACATGTGTATCGCGTCTTCTCGGTGCTTGATAGCAGAATTTGGGGAATCAGTTTGGGGTTCCAATCATGAATTGAGTTCAGTTTGGGTGTTCAGTCGAGTGTGTGATAGACTCTGAGGGTATTTGGATTGATAGATTGAGGGTAAGGTATCGGACTGCGGTTGTGTTAGAGCGAAAGTGTTATAAGACTGCGGGGGTAGTCGTAGCATTCACTAGCGGTCGGATGGTGTGGGAAGTGTTGTGAGACTGCGAGACAATTCGTAGCATTCACGGATTCTTTCAGATGATTAGGTCAGGGTGGGTCTGTTCGCAAGATTGTGGGTAGACCATAGCATAATCAGAATCAGGAAAACGGTAGGTCGTTGGAGACCTGACCTGATGTAAGACTACAGTATTCTGGTAGCATTCACTTTTCGTATCTGATTCGATGGCGTCAGGTTGTCAGGCTGTTATGATCGAATGGATCAGAAGGATTGATGGAGCCAGGAGTGGCGATATAGTTAGGACGGTTATTGCTAGTCGAAGTGTCCTTCGGGAGTCGCGTGTTAGATAACTATTGGCTCAGCAACCGGACAGGACTTCGGTATTCCAGATAAGTTGGGACCGGGGAGGTCTCAGTGGACTTCGAAAGCAACCAGAAGGCAGCCTACTGTTTCGGTCAGTTTCTGTGTTTAGGGCGGTATTGACGACTTGGGTTTTCAGGTGTGCGAAGAGTATCTGTATGTGTTTGTAGATCTATGTGCGGGTATTGAGTATGTTGTTATGCTATAGCAATTACTAGGTCTATCCCCAAGTATTGAACATGCTGATGGAGTATGCTGAAGACTTTGTATGGGTTTTGTTAGTTACATGATCAGGTTCTGAGAATATATGTGTTATGGGGTAGCAACTTGTTCTTCAAGTAGATAGTGTAGGGTGAGGTTTCAGCACTGTGACACTTGTTGGTGTTGTGAAGGACATTGATTAGGCCTTCTTAGGCAATGGAGGAGGTGAGTGCCTCCAGGAGGGAGTGTTGGGCATCTGAAGCGACGACAGCGGTGTCGATAGGTTATTGGGAGCATTCTAGTCATGAGCTGAGGGCCGGAGAGGGCATACCAGACTCATGTTGTAGGCTCAGAGGCAATCCAGACCTATGCTGAGGACCATGTAAGGATATTCCAGTCATAGGCTATGGGCATAAAGATTATGTTGGTTATGTCGCTGGTAGGAGCGCGTTCGGATTGGATGTATTGTTGAGATTCGGGGGAGTTGCACTCGGTTGTGACGAATCAGAGGATGGTGGATGGGACGCAAGGATAGATCCTTGGATCTCAAATTATGAGTAGACCCGAGTTATGTCATAGAGGTATTCCAATCTAGGGTATTCCATCCTGAGGATGACCGGACCCTATGATTGATTCGACCTGATATGTTTGGTATTCCAACACGAGGGTTGATTGGGCCAAATATGTGTGGGGATATGAGGGTATTCCATCCTAGGGATGTCTGGACCCGTCGTAGGCATGCCTGGTATTCCAGCCCGAGGCTGAGTGGGCCAGGCATGAGTGTCCGTGTTTATTAGTGGATTGATTTTTGTATGATATTTTGGGAACTGAATGACGCATTATCCTGTCAGGACAAAGGGGTTCGCTTCAGGAAGAGGGAAAGTTGGGTTTCCAGTACTTTGGATCATCAGGATTTTGTCAGGTTGGCAAAGTGGCATGTAGGATAGACCTTTTGAAAAGGGTCGGTTGGATTCACATCGCCTTTCACGTTTCGCAATTGCGGAAGTGCATTCTGGATGAGGAGGCAGTAGTATCATGGGATGACATTCAGGTCAATGAGCGCCTAAATTATGTTGAGAGGCCAGTGGCCATTCTGGAGAGGAAGGTGAAGGTTCTGCGGAACAAATAGATACCTTTGACAAAGGTACAATGGGAGCACCGCAGAGGATCCGAGTGGACGTGGGAGCCGGAGGCGGAAATGCGGGAACACTATCCAGGGTTGTTCACCGCAATAGACTTCGAGGACGAAGTCTAGTTCAAGTGGGGGAGAATTGTAACGCCCCGACTCTCAGGTAATAATTTTAGGGCGTAAATTTTCATAAATTGCAAGGTCTACTCGACGAGTTGGATTCCCTGACTCGACGAGTAGAAGCGGATTGGGCCACGTGGTTAAGTGACCTACTCGCCGAGTCCAAGATAGGACTCGACGAGTAGGAGCTAAATGATGAAACCCTAATTTTTGGGGTTTTGCACCCTATTTAATGGATCATAAGCCTCCTTTAGCCCCCTTACAACCTCTTGACAGTCCAGCAAACCCTAATCCATGTGTGTGCTTCATTCTTGTGTGTTTTAAGATTTGGAAGGTGGATCTTTGTAAGAAGAGCTTGGAGATCAAGTGGCTAGAAGCAAGGAACGTGTGGGGATTTGCTATCTACCTCAGTTACCATCTTTTGGAAGGTGTTGGAGTTTGGGGCAGTGTTTCAGGAGCGTGTTTTCGTGGTTCAGTTCGGCATTTCAAGGTGAGTTATCCTCACTGTACTCAAGGGTCTAAGGCACCAAGGCCGTCCCTTTGATTTGTTATTGGAATTATTATTATTGTGATATGTTAGCTCGGTATCCTGGTAGATAGGATGGTTACATGCTAGTATGATCTGTTAGATCAGTATCCTAGTAGATAGGATGATTATATGTCAGTATGATCTGTTAGATCAATATCCCGGTAGATCGGATGTGGTTATGCTTAGTGACCTATAGTTGGTCTGTCTGTCTGCATGCTCGTTGCTATGCCAGTTAGGTAGATCTGTAGGACTACCTGTGTTGTTATGTGATTATCTGTATGCGCATTAGTTGTGTTATATGTTGACATATTATGTGAGGTGGGTTGAGGTAATACCGCTCCGTGCGGTAACCAACAAACCCGGGAGCATTCCAGATACGGGCTGAGGAAGACTCGTACTGTGGGCTCTGGAGCATTCCAGATACGAGCTATGGGAGACTCGTACTATGGGCTCGGTGGCAATTCGGATGTGAGCTGTGGGCCCGGAAGGCAATTCAGACTCACACTGTGGGCTCAGGGGTAATCCAGTCTGTAAAGCTGTGGACCCAGTACATGTTGTTATTTGTATATGTGATACATGAAGTGTATCGGTATGTTGGCATTCCAACCCGATGGTTGAGGGCCTGGGGTATTCCATCCCGACGGATGATTGGACCCATAATATGCTGTTTATTATTGTATGTGTATTGTTGTGTGTATGAGTATTTTGGGGGTAACTCACTAAGCCTTCGAGCTTATTTTCAGTTATTTGTTTCAGGTTCAGCGGATGACCGCGGGAAGGCGAAGGCGTGATCGTACACTTGCTCGATTGATGATTATGATTTCTGGGAACTCTGATGTTTAAACTATTTTGAAAACAAATTGTAATAACTGAATGCTTTTAAATGATTTAAAATGTTTTAAATTGACTCGAATTTTATGGATGTTATAAATTGGAGTGGATGTGTTTGTGTTTGAAGGAGGAGTATTCGGGTTTTGATCCATAGTTGGTTTTTGTGTTTGGTTGATTTTTGTGTTTGTGTTTTAAATGATAAAAGAAATAGAGATAGATATAGAGAAATAGAAGTGTAGTTAAAAAGAATGAGGTATATATGTATTTATATATTGTTAAAAAAAATTAATTACTAATTTTTTTTTTTTGAATTTACCGTTTTTAAACGGCAGTATTACCGTTTTTAAACGGGTGAAAAATGTGCAACGGTCGAAATTACACGTTCCCATCCGTTACCATGGCAACGAGTGATCACATAACGGCTGATAACGGGAGGGGAGGGGGGGGGGGGGGGGGTGCGCGCTTTATGGTGCTGCCAAATTAGCTTAACGTTGTATGGCGTTGCCCATACCCATCGGTCTAACAAGTGAAATGTATGAAATTTGTTTTGACTAATATAAAATGAAAATGTTAATGTACGAACCATTCCTATAGAATCAGATACGGGGACAAAAAAAACTGCCTTATATTATATTTGATTTATTTAAACTTTATTTCTTTTTACAAACAGTCAAGAAAAAATAAATCATCATGTATTAATGTATCAATTTGGAGATCCCACAGTGGGTCATGTTCACTACTGCCGTTATCTGCTCTGTTTGTCATGTTTAGTGTATATGATTCCCCATTGATCGTCGGGAAATACTCTGACGTCGATACATCCATTTCGAAATTCCATATGCTGTCAATATCACCACTATACATCTCCACATCTTCGGAGGTGGAGGTGGTGGTCGGAGAATCAATTGTATTTTGGACTAATGTATCCCAAAATGAGTCATTGTCACAACTCTCCTCCGCAAGTACGGAGGTAGTGGTGGCCATAGCAACCACCGGCTCTGCGTTGGAAAGCCAGTAATCATCGGTGGCAACTCCCCGACAAGCATGAATGGTGGTGGACAAGGAGTCATCGAAACTACTCACATTATCGAGTTTGGAGGATGCTTGGTTAGAATGGCCGGTGTAGTCGCCGATAGACAGTGTTGGTGAAATCGGTGGCAATGTACTCATTTGGAAATTCCATAATGAGTCAAGGCTTACGGAGGTGGTTGGCGAATGCACAGTGCTTCCCGGTGACTCCCTATGGAAGCATCTATCGTTTCTCGCATCCTCCACGACGGTGACATTGGTGGTAGCTGGCGGTTCTTCTAGGGTGCTTGACGGAGAAGAATCATCTTGTCCCACATTCCAACAGGTGGTGGTGGTGGTTGTGGGTGGATCCACCACGGCTTTTTTCTTGCATTTTCCATTATCTGAATTCGACGAGCAGGAAGACGACACCGGCTTATAATCACCCTTGCGCAGTAACAGAGGGAAGTTGACTTTAGCTCTTGTGCCACGGAACATAAAAGCTGCTTTATCATAAGCCACAGCAGCTTCCTCCGGAGTGTTGTAAGTACCCAACCATAATCTCGCCTTTTTCTTCTCCGGATTTCTTATCTCCGCCGTGAACTTCCCCCATGGTCGCCGCCTTACGCCTCTGTAACGCGTCCATTCCACCACCTCGTCCTCTGCATTCTCCGCCGTCTTTCTCTTTTTCTTCACATTCTTGGATTTCACTTGGTTATCTTCACCATCACCTGACTCCTCTTCCCCATTCTTTTTCAGAGACACCGGAGCATTTTCGCTACTAGAACCGGTCTGATCACAGCCGGGATTTGTCGCCGGGGAGTGCATCTTGGAAACGTCGTCATGATCATCAAGGAGATGCTTGCGAATGATATCGATAGTGGAATAAGAAGGAATTGTATCCATAGAAGACATGTTCCTTTGGTTTTGGGAGTGTTTTTCAAGTACAGTCAGTCTCAGGCTTGCATTTTGACGAGGGAGGTTGACAGTTCTTATATATGATAAGAAAGATATTTTTAATAGTTTCCCTTTACGCATATTTTTCTCATTGTTTTACACATGGTTGCAATGTACCAAACGTTGTGTAGTAATCGATGTATTAATAATTATAACAAAGGAATACGACATTAATTTAAAAGATATATATCTGATTTAATAAGTAGAATATTTCGTTGTTTATTAAATACTGATAAAAAGATGCTAACTTTATACAACAAGATCAATCATATCAAAATTATAAAACTACTGTTGATTAGTAGAAAACAAATCTGAGTTTCAAATCTAATTTTTTATTTCTTGAAAACACAACAAAATCAAAGTAGATCTACAGAAAATATAATAAAGAATAGAAAATTTAATTATAGTCATCAAAGATGAACCTCGTTGTACACACAAGGGTGTATAATAATACAACACCTGTTAAGTGGAGTATAAATACATGAATTGGGTTAATTGTTTAGTACTAGTTGAAAACAGGGTGCACATGGTGGGCCATCGTCAAACTAAGACACTCGTTCAGGCGCATGGATCGCCATCTTTACGGACATGACGTAACTGTGAAATCTTCTGTAAACTTCATTTTGTTTTTTACAATTTTAAAATACATAAAATATTCAAAACAAGATCCCAAAAGATGTACTTAATTTGAACTTCACATTAGGCTTGGCATTTTTGTTTGTGAAAATGTAGAAACTAGGACCCTCGGTGATACCCTACCAAATAAAGGTAATCGTCACGTACCGATTGATGTTTCACAACCACGTTGGTCCATGTAATTCTCTAGATGAATGATTTCTCTTGACATCCTGAATCACTAAAATAGTATTGCTCGGTCACTCCAAATAATGGTACTTTGGATGAAGTTAAAAATGGCCTTGTATACAAACACGAAAGTGTTTGTTTTTTTGAAGCAAAAATTCATGAAGTCTGCGGACCACCTCTGTAACCCTCTGCAGTAGAAGAGGTGAACCAAACGGCTGCAGTCTGTAATAAGAAGCGTGTTTGTTTTTTTTTTTTAAACATCTAGATGCTGCTGCAGATATTAAAAAATTAAAATAAACTGATTTTATAAATCAAAATAGTTTTTTAATACCGAAAATTTATTAATGTATGACATTTCAGTAAAAAATTATGATATTTCAGCAAAAAACAATGATATTTCAACAAAAAAATAAATGTATTTTACCAAAAAATAATGATATTTCATCAGAAATTATCATTATTCAATATAAAAAAAACGAAAAAAAAAATCAACAATAATAAACGAAAAAAAATATATAATAAGATTTCAACAACATATAATCAAGATTTCAGCAAGAAGAGGTCTGAAAAGGTTGTTTACAAAAAACAAACAGCATCGAAATATGTGTACATACATAGATCATCATTTTCATAAAAAGTTTAGGTTCCATTTAGACTATATGGGACGTATCAAGCTCACTTGGACCAGGGTGAGGTGCGGTGAACACACATCATCCCATATTTTCGCACATTTTTGGACATTCCACGGTGCAAATGAACTCTCTCTCTCTCTCTCTCTCTCTCTCTCTCTCTCTCAATAAACTAGTCATTACATACACATGTGTATATATATATATATATATATATATATATACACTGTAAAACCTAATCTTTGGAGGTATTATTTTTATTTAAAAGTTTAATTTCAAAGAATCCTACCGTACATTGGGTGCAGGATAGTCCCCTACACTGAGCGTAGGAGGAAGTTCGGATGTGGGGGTTAAGTGACCTACGCAAGGCATAGGTGAGGTTATGCATGGCGTAGGATCTCAGAACCAAAACGCTAATCTTTGTCGTTGTGAGCCCTATTTAAAGGCTCTAACCCCGTGAGGGTCTTTCCATTCTCAGTCTTCATCCTCCCAAACGACCTCCTTGAAACCCTAATCATCATTTCTGAGTTTTGAGCTTTTAGACTGCCTTGTGTTCACTTTTGAAGTAAGAGGAGTATTGTGGAACCACTTGGGAGCTCAAATCAGTGTAGATCCAGAATTGACATCCACTCATCCAGCTCTAGAAGGTATAAAGTTTCAACCTTGATGAAGTTTTATGTTAGATCTAGTTATTCTTGAGTATTTTATGCTTTTGAGTGTCATTTCCAGACGTTCTTAGGGTATTTATGTCATAAAAATGAGAGCTTGGTCGCTCTCATCCACCTATGCATGAGTCCTTGAGCAATAGATGATTTTATGGACCTAGGTTTTGTTTTGGCGCTCCTTGTGGCCATGTAAATGGATAAAGTTAGAAACTTCATCCATTAAGACATCTATTTGATGTAGATCTGCAACTATAATGAGTTGAACTCCTATTTTAAGGAGTTAATGATTAAGAAGGGTGATTAGGGAGCTACGTGGGGCGTAATCTTCCTTACGTTGGGCGTGGCTCTGTTTTTTCCTGCTTTACTGCCTTAACATCTACGTTGGACGTAAAGCTACATGCTATGTTGAGCGTACGTCGTCTGGAGTTCACCGTTGACTTTTGATCATTGGTACTTGACTTTTACCAAGTTTCACCTCGGGTAAAACATGGGATTTTTGGGTTGTAATTGAGGATTGGACCTTGTTTGATGTATAGGTGACTTGTAGAGTTGGTTACCGGATCGGGATCATTACTGACTGAGAGGTGAGTTTCTCAATATACTCGTGGGTTAAAGGCACCAATGTAGGCCCACTAGATTGTGTTATGTATCCTTGGGTATATGATGTTATATTATTCTGTTAGATTGGTAAATTTGTATGATTTTTTGTACTTGTTGGTCATTCATTTCCTGTTTGCATATGTCGACATAGTGCAATTTGGTTGAGGCTGTACGACTTTGTGTTGTAGGCCAACAAACCCGGGGCAATCTAGTAAGGAGATTGTGGGCCAAGGGCAATCCAATCGGGAGACTGTGAGCCAGGGGCAATCCAGTCTGGAGACTTCGGGCCCAGGGAAATCCAATTTATATTGTGGGCCCGGTGTGCATGCATTGTATGTGTATTGTCGTTTGTGGTAATTTGGGGAAACTCAGTTAGATTTGGCTTATAATTGTTGATTTTATGTTTTCAGGTACTTTTGATGATCGGGGGAAGGAGAAGGCTTAATCGTACACATCCTCTTATTGTTTATGTCTTGAGAGATTGATTTGATACTTTGATTTTTGGGATATGATTTGAAAACAGTGGTTGTTTAATTATGGTTTATCGTGGAAATATTTTTATAAAAATGAAAAAATTTATCATGGTTTTTGGGATGTTACAAGTTGGTACAGAGCCCTGGTTTGAGAGAATTTGATGAACGCTCACGTGATTCCAGACTCAAAATTTTCTCAAACTATGGAACTGTAAAAAATATTTTTCAGAATTTAATTTAAAACAGTCAAAGGAGAGGATATGATGTGTATAATCAGTCGGTGCCCAAGTAATGTTATTCCCCAAGATACCCACACTTTTTTGTGTATTGATGATAATAATGGAATTGCATGCTAGTTTGTAGGCTAGAGATCTTCAGGAATTGCATAATAGAATTGTCTGATTTATGATGTATGAGAGCCTAAGAGAACTTTTTTTATATGTTATATGGAACTGACATTATTATTGTGGTTTTTTCATGTGTACATCATAGTTGTACATAACTAAGACTTCATAACTATAGAATGTATGATTTAGCCTTATTTCCTGTTCCTCATTTAGCTGTGGGCTTAGGGTAGAATCAATTATTTGACTGTCTATCGAATCCAATGTTATGTATGATTAGCTTACACAAGACAGTTGTAGGGTTAGTGGAAGTTTCATGAGTGATTATGGTTTTTAGAAGGCCAACATAAGGAATAATTAGTTTTCTCTATAAACCTTGGATCTATGTTTTCTCTATTATGGTGTACATGCAACCCTATAAACCTTGGATCTATGTTTTCTCTATTATACATGCAAATATTAACTATTCCAAGGTTTCATCCTAACTAGCATATTATGAAGCACCTATACTACAAAGTTCTAGTTAGATGACATACCTTTTGATGTAGCTTGATGTCTTCAAGCTTTAAGAGCTTAGCCCCAATAGTGTGGAAGCCTCAAATGGAATCACAAATCACCAAGCTTTAAGGCTCCGAGAAAAAGAGGTTTTGGCTCGGAAGTTCTGCCCCGGCAGAGCCCGGTTCCTAGCCAAACCCCCGGTAAGTGCGATATGCTTACCCTACTTTAAGTATAGCTTATGTTTAAGTTTAATACCGTTATTATGAACCTATAAACAATATATGTATTATAAAATATAATATACAAAGTGTTATTATAATATATTTTAACTACTTGCGATACAAGGAATCTGGTTTGAAGGGCCGCATAGGGTTGTTGGATTTCAGAAGTGCTATAATGCTAAAATGGTCCTGCCCTCCGGTGTTTCATGTTTGGCCCCTGTCTGTACATAGTGGTTGAAAACATCCTAGCAGTTGCGCCTAAAGGATAATATCGGCAGCTGCGCCACAACCCGTAGATGTTTTAAACTACGATGTACTCTAAACATCCTAGCAGTTGCGCCTAAAGGATAATATCGGCAGCTGCGCCTAAATGATAATATTGGCAGTATTGCCTAATAGATAACATTGGCAGTTGTGCCATTGGCAACGATGGACTTCGTGCCTATTCCTTAGGACAATCCTTAGGAATGAATAAATGAAGAATAGATGATTCTTAGGGTAGATTCTTAAGAATAAAGGAGATAATGGGGATCGGTAATTGGATTAATTGTTTGATGATGAAACATAATAACTTTATTATTGTGGGTTGAAAACCCTATGTACTCAACAGGTTTCCCAATCTGGCCCACTCAGTTTATTTGTATCACAGGTGTCGATACGAAGCTACATTACACTAAGAGATTAAAGGAGATGTAAATCACTAGTTTAAATGAATGTAAGGTCT